GTGAAGGAGGTACCTATCAAATATGGTGGGATTGTGAATCTCTTTAGTTGTCAAGGAGCCTTGTGCTGTAGAATGGCATTTTTGCCCTGCTGTTTATTTGACTGAGGTCTGTTGGCTGACAAGCTGCAGCTCCCCATGCCCTGAGTCTCCTGTGTGGTGATCTGCATGTCATGCTTGTCTAGTGATTAAATTTTAGGAAAGTAGAACTTGGCCAGCAGGAACTTTTCTTTTACATTAGGATTATGATTGTTTATAGAGGTCGCTGATTTTGCTGGATCACCAGTATCATATTAGATAGCCTCTTCTGAATCCTTCCAGTAAATTCTAATGACATTGCTCTTTGGATGTGATTACTCATTCCATTGAAACATTCCATGGGTGTGAGCAAGGCTGTCACACAATGATGGTGTTTTATTTATGTGGAGTATCTCGTGGGTGGGGTCAGGAGCTTGCTACCCATGCAGTGCACAGGGTTACCCAAACATTGTTCGGCTTCTTGAAGTCAAGCAAGACTTCGCAGAGTCCCAGGAGAAATCAAGTCCTCTGATTACCGTCTACTGGTCCTATTCTCTTTCCTTCGACTCAGAGCAAGTTTCCCAATGTCTGGCAGGCTGAGGAATGGAGATAAATGTGAACTAGCAGAAGCCGGTCAGAGGTAAGATCATTTATTTTACAACTGGGGAGGACAAATTGCTTGGAGAAAAGGAAAGAAGATGTTTGGTTAAATGGTTTTTGAGATTTTGTTTTGTTTTGTTTTTGTTTTTCGAGATAGGGTTCTCTATGTAATAGTCCTGGCTGTCCTGGAACTCACTTTGTAGACCAGGCTGGCTTCGAACTCACAGAGATCCACTGCCTCTGGTTCTCAAGTGCTGGGATTAAAGGTATTCACTACTACTGCCCAGCAAGAATATTTTTATTAAATGTTTAACAGCTAAATATAATTTATCATATGAATTTTATGTATATTTGCTTATGTTCAGGTTTGGTAATAAAGACATTAAAATTTGTCTGTGGTGTTTTTGTCTACAAATTGGAAGGTACTTTTGAACTTGACTTTTGAATCAACGCAGAAAAGAATGGTTTTGGCAAAGATACTGCTTCTTCATTCTCCCCTCTGACTTCTATTTTAATAGTACACACGTACTATGAAAGGAGACTTTCCCTGTAGATTTAAATGTTTGATACTCCTGTAGAGTATGAAGGAAACACTAGGAAAATTTTCTCCTTGTCAACATTGTCTCAGTTTTAACAGTAAAACTCAAGTTAGGAAATTAAAAAAAAATTGAAACAGGATCTCACTATGTAGTCTGTCTGGACTCAAACTCATAGAGATCCACCTGTCTTTTTCTCTCTAGTGTTAAGATTAAAGGGCTAGGTCTTCATGTCCAGACAAAAAAAATAATATTTTTAAGGAAATTTCAATAAGAAATTTGACCTGTTGAGTATTTTATTGAAAGACGTTTTCTTCACCATAAATGAATATCTGAATGCTATTAATTAAATTTAACCTAAGAATAATAATAGGAAGCCATGGAGAGTTAGATTCTAGGGAATGAATGGAAATGTGCCAAGCACAGTTGATGAGCAGGACACCTCTAAAAACTGGATTCTAAGTTAGTTCTTTGAAACCTTAAACTCTGATATACACAGAGGAGGCCCACAGCTAGTAAGTGTCTAGTTAATGAATAGAGTCCATTAATTCCTGGCTGTAAGTTACAGTAGGAGGCCAGAAAGGAAAACAGAAAGAACGTCCTTGCTTCTAAAGATGCTGAAGGAGAAGGGGCATAGAAAAGGGGGCATGAGTGGAAAGCACATTAAATGGCAGAGACAAATACAGTTTATCGGCAGATGTAATAGATACTTATCCTAAGAGCCAAGATGATTTGACTACTTTATACCTGAAGCTTTTGGAGTGGAATTATTCTCTGAAGACCTTTGAGAGTCCGTAACAGTGTCCCCCTCTCTTTTTTCCAGAGGAAAGGGACTGGCAGGGAGTACTCCAGCATGCTAATAAGTTTTTCTTCTAAGGCTTACTTCTACTGGAGAAAACATAAGTGCTTACCTCTGTGGTTATGGTACTTTGGGAATCAGAGCACTGGCTCACTAGGTGACCCAGACTTGTGTTGTGGGAGCTCCTTCTGCTCCTTCAGCCAATAGCTGCTGAGATACCAGCCCATTGGGGCGTGGTCTTTCTCTTTAAAACAGCAGCAACTGTCCTCCAGTCACTCTCTTTCTCCCAGCATCCTGTTCTGTCTACCCTGCCTATCTAAGCTGCTGTCCTATCAAAAGCCAAGGCAGTTTCTTTATTAACCAATGAAAGTAACACATAGACAGATGACCCTCCTACATCAGACTTGAGTTCTTTCAAGTCAGGAGTAGGTAGTAACTACCAAGCAGAGAGCATTTGGGTGTAGCCTGGGGAAAGTGGACACAAGCAGTTATTGAAGAAAAGTTGTTCAAACATAATGGTTTAGAAAGCTGCTGTGTTTTAAAAGAATGAAAATGCCAGGAAACCGCTCTTTAGAATAAACAAGCAAACATTGAGGGCAAAAGAGACATAAAATACGAGAACTGGTTCACTCTTCTAGGTAGACTCAGTACTTATCAACTGGAATATCTATTATAACATGGTCACAAGGTATATAAAGCAAAACACGACAGAACTGTAAGTTGAAGTAGACAGTCCTAGTGACATATTAGGGCATCTAATTAATAGGTAATTCATTTTCCCATTATTGAGTTGTGTGATGCAGAAACAAACTCAGTAGACATCAACACACTCATGATCAAGATCACATCCATGAGCTGAAGAACATATTTCCTATGCTGGGGATACCAGGACCTTGTAGGTGGCAAGCCGGGGCTCTACCACTGATCTACAGCCCGATCCTGGTATGTGCTCCTTGACAATACTATTATATACCTTGTTCTTGGATTGTTATAATCTAAAAAAATGTTATTGTCAAGTAGGAAATAGTATTGCTTAAATATGATCATGGGAAAATGTAGCAGCCAATTTGAAAGTTTGTGTTCTCTAAGCTTCTCTATCAATAACACTGTGTTATATGAAGCAAACATTACCAAAATTATATCACTGGTTTTAATCAACATACCACAATAGGTTTATCCTAACTTCTTGCTCTAGTAATTTTTGACAAACTATGCACATCAATCGTATCCACCTGTGTTTATTTGCTAAATCCAATAATATCAAACTCTTTGTTGTCATTGACCTCAAATGTGATCGAAAAAGGATTGGCATGGGTTATATATGTGTGGCATTTTGTTTTCATACACTTTGTGTAGTTTGCATAAGCTCTTATGTTATACGGTGGCAGACTGTCACTTGACACAATCCCAACAGTGGATGGTGAAAATCCTTGCTACTGTTTTCTCACCGCAGACTAAAAACTCAGGAGACAGGTCCCCTAGGGAGGGTTTTTTTTTTTTTCCTTTGGAGAAGAATTAATTGTAACAAAAGGAGAGACACGCAATTCAGTAACACCTGGGGCAGAAGTGGGCAATTCAGTAACACTTGGGGCAGAAGTGGGTTTTAGTTTATAGGATTTATTTCAAGTCTTTGGAGTATGCTAACTTGTTAGGCAGGAAAGAACTTTATATGGGAAAATGAAAATTACATGGTGTAGTTGGCCTAATTGTGAAACTGAAATTCACGGAGTGACTCCTCCAAATGTCCCACAAATGGCACAGTACTTTTAAACTTGAACAACACACGACTCGCGCTATGCAAGGAACAATCCCCATTTTACAAATGTAGGAAGCGAGAAACTGAAGTCAAACATCCCACACCAAGTCAAGTTATGACAGCACCTTGTGCACAAATACAGTACCTTTTTGTTTTGTGTTTCGGAAACATTGGGATCTCAATCTTATTCTTAAGTTTGTGGCTGTGGAATGTGTCTTGCTCTGCGGATGGCAACGTCACTTTTGACAGGAAAGTTTAATATCAAACCTATTAATTTTACAAGGCTCCTTGTCTGACTTTTATGTCGCATGACTCATACCACATTCGATTTCCTCATTCTTGTACCTTCTATGTGGACCCAGTCCAAAGCAACCCCCATTGGATGACAGTCACTCCAGCCTTGTTAAGGAGGGATGCTAGCTGGGAGAAGGCCTTTCCCAGACCCTAGCGAGAGACTCTAGCCGTGGACAACGCTTTGAATGTCCACCGTACATCTTTCTAAATGTCTTCTTAGCAGATCCCAAATCTGAGACGGCAGAAGAAGCAATAAGAAGCTACACACAGTAAAGACTCAGCAAGAGACGGGCTTGATTTGATTCCAGCTTTGCCACTGCCCACTGCTTATCTTAGACCCAGTCTCTTGCTCTGTGATGTGGTGATTTAGGTACCTGTACCAGGTGTGGGGCTTGCCAAGCCAATGTTTAGCATTGCTTACAGAATACATGCTTTGGAGTTCTGGGGTTCATTCACCCCCTCCTTCCTTCGCGGTACCTTCTCAACTCAGTAGAACGACACTCGATGGGGGGGCTGCCACTGTGTGTTCAAAAGTTAAGTCTTTGGCTGTGCGTCTGTGTCTGCGGCCGGAATGTGTTTCCCATCTGTGCAGGCAGGCAACTGGAGCCTATCCTTGAGTAATTTGGCAGAGCTGTTTAGCAGGTGCCTAAAGTCTGAACATTCCTGAATCAGGAGGGGGCGGCTCTGGCTTTCAGAGAGCACTAGCCGGGCCACAGCTGGAGTGGGGCCGGAGCGGTAGCACCCACTTGAGCTCTGAACTGGGAATGAATGGAAGTCGTGATGTGGGAACCCAGGGACAGAAGTGTTTTTCCAGGACGGCGGCAGCGGGAACCGGTGCCCAGGACAGCAGGAGGGCAGGTCCCGCCCGCGGGCCGCGCGGCCAGGTGCAGCCGCAGGGCGCGTCCCCGTGCGCCCCTTCCCCCTCCCGACGACTTCCTGGTTCGCGGAAGGTGGCCAAGCCGCCGCCGCCGGCCGGGTCGCGGGAACCGGGAGGCGGGGGCGGGGGCGGGGGCGGCGTCGCCGCGGTGCTGTCCCCGCGAGGCCGCGGAGGGCGCCGTGGGCCGGCCGCCGCTCTGAGCAGCGCGTCCCAGGCGGCGTGCGGGCGTGCGGGCGCGGGGCGACGGCGGCCCCGCAGCGACATGTGACCATGGACCGCAGGACCAGGTGAGCGGCGGCGGGGCCCGGCGTCAGCCGCCCCGGGTGCGGCCTGCCCGGTACGGCTGGCTGCGCGGCGGTCGGCGCTAGGCCGCAAAGCCTGCCGGGTCCGCGACCCTGCTTCCCCGGGCCCGGACGGCGGGCGGGCGGGCGGGCGGGCGGCTCTGTGAGCGGTTGTTATGAAACCGCTCTCCCGGCGACCCAGGTCGCCGCTGCTCTCTTCAGGGTGATTTTCCAGGGTGGCCTGGGATGCTTTCTGATGCTTTTCCTTCACATAAAATGAAAGCGCCGTTTGTTTATACAGCCCCTCCGTGTGCGCTGCTTGCGGAGTGGTAGATGCACCAAGGTGGCTCTTTATCATTGGCCATTTTACTTCTGGGGAGTAGGTGAAAAGCAATTTGAATAACGGTGGTGGCTCTGCTTTGAGGTGTCTCGGAGACGGGTGATTGCTGGGCTCCTTCTGAAACTTTACTTTGGGAAGAAATTCCGTCTTTTACCGCCCCCTCCCATTCCGTTCTACCTCACCCTGTGTATTTGTTGTGCCACCGTGAAAGGCCCCGTAGGTCCCAGAGAAGTATCACAGAGTTACTATTTAATTTTTCTACCTGAGACCAATTTTAAACGTGTAATGGAAGTAGAAGCCTTATGCATTTTAGAATATTTCCTTTGGTGTTTGACACCATGAAGTGCAGGGTGTTTTTTTTTTTAAAGCATACTTTTTGGACAATTAATTGTATTATAAAGGGATTTTAAAAAAGTTCACCGGAGCCCATTTTATGCCCATGAAACAAGTTAATAGTGGGGAAGATGAGGAAGTGTATATTTGTAAATTAATCTATATGGCTTGTCTTTTTCTCTGGTTGATATTTAAAATCAATGTTTATTTAGATTTGAGAAGTAATTAATAATTATTGTTACATTAATAACATTTTGAAGAAGGTAGATATTAAGAAAGGCACCAGTCATAGCAGGAGTAATTGAAATATATGCCATCACTTTTTTGCATTGTGATGTCTTTTACTTTAACAGCTCCCCCTTCACTCCGCCCTCCCACCATGGTCAAACCCAAGGCTTCAGGCACTCTAGGGCACATACTGTGGAGCCTTGTTCCCGGACTTGATCTTACACCTTCTCAAGGAAAGAGACATTACAGCAACACATTTTTGTTTGCTTTAAATATCTCAGTAGATTTCAGTTCACTTTTTGAAATTTAATAAATAGGTTAAATGAGTAAGAAACTAGGGGGAAAAAAAAGAAACCGAACTAGTAACTTCTAAAGGTGGGGGAATTTAATGAGGAGGCAAATGTCTAAATTCCTTCAAGATAATTGATATAAGGAAAATAATTTGTTAGGTTTGGTTAGCTTGGAGTGTGTGAACAGCTTCTTTAGGTATGCCCAGGAAAAGCAGGTGCCCGTCTATGGGGCACTCTTCCGTGATGGTCTTTAGAACATGCAGGTGGAATTAGGATCTCATCTTTCTCACTATGGCAGGTTCTTTGGAGGAAAGCCGAGAGTGGGCGTTAGAATTATGGCAGTATGAGAAGATGCTTAGTAGGAGTGCCCTGGCTTTCCAGTTTTGAGTCAATAAGATGAAATCTACTACTCTCTAACGAACATTCACATATTAATTGATGTCTCATCGTCACAGTTACTCTGTGACACAGACAGGGTACATTATAGGAGAGGAAGCAATCTCAGAGGTCAATGAAATACTTTGCTCCCAGCTCCAGCGCTCCAAAGTCTGAACTTTAACTCTTAATAAACTGATAAAACATTTTCATTTATGTTTCTGTTACACAGTCAGGGAGCCTCATAGAAGCCATTGCAGCAGGCACAGGGCTCGATTTAGAACTCAGTAAATACAGGGATGGGCATCTTCCTTAGCGTGAACAGACTCTGGGTTCGATTCTTAGTACCACACAAGCCCACAGGTACACAGCCATGCTTGTATAGAAGCTATGTAGTTAATGCTTATGTGCTGTGTAAAGCAAATGAAATATAACAAGATTCTTTCTATTTTAGGGAAAATCCAGAAAGAACTTTTGACTTGGTGTTGAAAGTGAAGTGCCATGCCTCTGAAAATGAAGGTATGCGTTCTTTTACCTCCTCCTGTAATCGAGTATGTCAAAATAAGTGTTAATGCTGTGTTCTTGCGTTGCATGATTGTATCGGGAACTTGAGAGTGCCAGATGTCTGTTCCAGGATCTCAAATTGCTGGTAATAAAATAGATGCGAGGTCTTTGCTTTGGGCTTGTAGAAATCAGGGTTGTTATCTGGGCAGCTTGGGTTTCAACTTACAGCTCAGCTTTGCTCCCAGTTGACAAAACTGCCCTTGTTCATGGTAAGAAGGCATGCCTTTCCATTTGCTTTCATCTGTGTTTGAAAGTCAGCTCTATTAAAAAAAAAATACTGTAAATTTTCCTGCAAGTACTAACGGTACCTTCACCAGTTCCTTGTGATGTTCCTGGAATGTACTATGTTCGCGGAATAGCTCCTTCTGTTGGATTTATTCCAGTTGCACAGAACTTGGGAAGGTAAACATGCGTAACATAACTTGGAAGGTTTTTATTGTGGGTTCTATACAATTTTCCTGAAAACAAATATTTACTTTTTAAAGTATTGTGACTTTTGTCCATTTTTTAAAAATCTCCTTTCCTATAGTGTGTGTGTGTCTTTGGAAGCAGAGTCAGTCAGAGGCAAAGGAGCATCTCTTTTTGCTTATTTTGTACATGCTATACGTTTTTAGTACATGGCTCATTAGTGGTATAGTTAGGCCCTAGATGGCAAGGCCATTAAGTATGGGGCTTTGTGGAGACCAGTTAGCCATCCTGAAGCCTGGGTGGGAAGTCTCTGACACTCTTAGTCCTAAGATTAGCCAGCAATTACATACTCTTAAGTAATTTGGCGCTGCACACCTTAAAATAGAGGAGCCCAGCCCAGCTGTGGTGAAATGGGCATGGCTAATTTTAGGTAGGAAATCACACACATTCTTGGCCCCAGAACTTGTGTGAGCTTTGTTTCTGGTCTTCTGGAACGACAGCTCTGTTCAAGTTTGCCAGTTAGCAAGAAGAAATCCCAAGGTTCCAAGTAACGTCTTCCAGCTAGAGAAGTCGTCGTCCATGATTGTCCTCCACGTGGTAGAGCTTGCTCATTTGGGTACCCCCAGTCGCAGCCATATCCTCTGTGCAGCTTGCTTGGGCTTGTGTCTTTTGTGCAGACACACACATGCGTATATTAATTTTCCATACTTTGCTTAAGTTGGTAGTGTATTTTTGGTATCAGTTAACTTTAGAAGAACTACTGCACTGTTAACCTAAGGTGTATGAAGCAGTACTCATCTGATGTGTTATACAGCAGGATAAATTTTCCTGGGAAACATGGGAGCTTTTTCATTTTAAATGTGTGTACTTCAGGTCACAAAGCAGTCTTATAAAAGTATAAAAGTGCTTCATGTAACAACTGGTCTGCGCATGTGTTAATCTGTGGTTCACATAAGGCCTTGTTGGTGTCATCCTTGCTTCCTTTGTCTGCTGTCTGGGTTTTCTGACTGGTTGGTCTGTGTTACTGACTTCTTTTCTTGCCATCTCACCTTGCTGCTGCTGTGAAATCACTGCTTTCCAGAGACATCTTCATTTGTATTTTACAGTTTATACAGTCTGGCAAAGTTAGGAATATCATAAGTGGACAAGACAAGCAATTTTGGCTTCTCTTCAAGCCGGTCAGTCTATTCTTTGTGTATGTGATGTGTGTGCATTACTGTGTGAGTGCCAGCACACACTTGGCCTGGTGTATATGTGGAAGTCAGATGAGGATTCCAGGTGCTGGCCTTTGCTGTCTACTTTGTTTGAGATGGGGTTTCTTTGTTGTTCACAGGTACTCTGTTTACCAGGCTAGCTGGCACTCGCGTTCTGGGGGACTTGCATGTCTCTACCTCTTATCTCCCCTTGGCTCTGGGATTACATACATGTACCACCTCACTGAACTTGGGTTCTGAACTTAGGTCTTAACATTTATGAGGCAAGCGCCTTACCCACTGAACCATCTGCCTGTCTCAGAGAATTGTCAGGAGTACCTCAGATCAAGGTTCTTTTTTGTGCCCCGCCCTTTATCGTCAGTTTGGACAATGTTGGGGATTGAATTAGATCCACGTGTTAATTTACAAAAGTCTGAACCACTGAGCTGGAGCCTCAGTTTTAGTGTGTCCACCCTAGCTTACCACCTAACAGCAAATTCTAAAGATTTAAAATTGTCCCCCCCCCCCCCCTTATTTTTCTGAGACTGTTTCTCACTACTGCAACTCAGGCCAGCCTCAGGCTTGTGGTCTTTGCACTTAGCTTTTTAGCACTGGGATTGGGGTGTGTGCCACTACACCTGGCTTGAAGGCTTTTTTTTTTTTTTTTTTTTTTTTTTTTTTGGTTTTTCGAGACAGGGTTTCTCTGTGGTTTTGGAGCCTGTCCTGGAACTAGCTCTTGTAGTCCAGGCTGGTCTCGAACTCACAGAGATCCGCCTGCCTCTGCCTCCCAAGTGCTGGGATTAAAGGCGTGCGCCACCACCGCCCGGCTGCTTGAAGGCTTTTTAAAGCTAAAGTCAACCACATCCAAACATTGCTGTTTCTTGCTTCAGCGATGCTTTGCATCATTTAAACATGATGAATATTTTCGGTTCCATGAAGTTATAACCTTTTGTGCCCTAAGAAGTTATGGTGCATATAACTAAGTGGGATCTAAAAGTAAAATTTTAGGCCAAGTTGCTCGGTGTTTCTATCTTATTAATTACCTCTTTTATTGCTAAATAGTAAAAGAAAATATGTGGAAGTTCTTTGAAAAGTATTGTAGCATTTCCTTGTAATTGTCAATAGCTGGTTTGTTTTAAGAAGACTGGGCTGGATTTCGGCTTGTCTATGGGGCATGTTCTACCACTGTGATAGACTCTGGGCTGGATTTTGGCTTGTCTGGGAGTATCCTTATTAAGAGAGCAAACCTTATAAATTAGGATGCTTTTACAAGTGTAAAACTGGCCCTAAGACTAAATGGACATTTCTTAAGTCTGTGTAAGAGAAAATCCCTGGAGTGAGTCACAACTCTTAATTATGAAATTACAGATCTTGTCATTCAAAGGCCTAGATATCTTGTGGTTTCAAGATGTCTATCCCTAGACCTCAGAAGCCTGCTTTCTTGAATATGAGTGCAGGTGGAAGAGGAGAAAACTTTGGCTTTTCATGACTCTTTCTTTAGAAGCAGAACTTTTCTCAAAAAATGTCTTCTTGAACCTCAGTGGCCAGAGTTGTCGTGGCTATGACCATTGCTTAGAAGGACATCGTTGACCCTGTAGAGATGGAGGGCTATGGAGTGGGTATTGTGTTTGGCCTAATAATTACTTGTAAAGGAATAGATATTAGGAGATTAGTTGAAGTATTCTTTGTAAAGGGTTGTTCAGAGTGTCACTTGATTTTTTTGATCGCTTATTTTTTCATACAGAAAATACGCCTTTATTTTTCATGTTAAAATATTTAACATGATTTTTCACTCATTTTTTATGGAGAACTTAAATCTTTCATAAGTATCATATGTATAAACAGATTTTATTTTTCTTCGTGTCAGTGTATGTGTGTGTATTTGGTGCTAGTAGAGGCTAGAAGAGGGTGATGTCTCCCTGGAGCTGGAGTTCCAGTTAACTGTGAGCCACTTAACCTGGGAGCTAGGAATTGAGCTTGAGTCCTCTGAAAGAGCAGCACGAGCCTTTAGTTCCTGAACTATCTCCCCAGTCCCCAGAAACAAGTTATTGACTGTTTTAGTTCATTTGGGGAACTAGAACTTGACATGGCAGATATTCATCTAGTCGCTCGCTGTCTGGACTTGTTTCAAGGCGTTTCATTACTGTTTCTGAACATAACACCATTTTTAAAATTTATCTAATTTATTTATTTTGTGTGCATTGGTGTGACGGTGCCAGATCCCCTGGAACTGGAGTTCTAGATAATTGTGAGCTGCCATGTGGATGCTGAGAATTGAACCCGGGTCCTCTGGAAGAGCAGCCAGTGCTCTTAACTGCTGAGCTGCCTCTTCAGTCCCCCATATCACATTTAGAATACTGAAAAATAAGTTTCGTTTGGAGTCCCCTACAGATTTGAAGCGTGCTGTGAGAGGGACTGGTGATGTTTCCTAGTCTGTCCCCTGTTTGTTAATAGAATTGTTTCTGGCCATGTCTTCATGTTGGCTGTGGCCTCTTTTTTAAAGGAGATTTTCCTGGCAAGACAGTCTTCCAGTAGCGTGTAGACCAGCTTTCCAGAGCACAGTGCCACAGGTTAGAACTTAATGTTGTTCTTGGTGGATCGCCAGACTCATTGCCTTGCCGCCCTCCTGCTCGCCCACACTGCACAGAGGCGGGAAAGCCCAGCCGGCAGAGCTGCCTGGCCCCAGTTCTAATAACAAAACTTACATCTGCTTGCACCGCTCTCTCCAACAAGACTGGACACTTCAAGGAAGTGAAAACTAACCGTTCCGCAGTAAAAGATGCCTTTACTACAGGCTTCTGTTTTGGGCGGTGGCTTTGGGCCTCTGTCCTCTCTTTTTCTTTTTCCCTGTTGCTGACTGGTGGTAAGAAGTGGCAGCAGCAGCAGCTATTTGTGTAGTGTTTACTTGGAGGCAGGCACAGGCCCGGGGGCTTTAACAAATGTACTAGGTTCTTAAGTCTCACAAAAATCTTATGGGATAGGAAGTGCTACTCTCATGAAGAAACCAAAAGCACAGAGAAATTAGCAAGTTTGTCTACAGTGCTATCCCTGTGTTCTGAGGTTAATCACTTCTGTCTTGCCTCCCATTGCATAATGTCACTTGTAAACTCATTGTGGCCTGTTTTATAGCAGGAGGGTATAGAATATTAATGATATGTGCAGCAGGTCATTTTAAACAAAAATACAGTGTGTTTTCTGAAATTAAAAAACCATTATAATTTAAATGATACGAGGCTTTTCTTTGTATAATTCCTTTTATAGATTGACTAGACTGGAGCCCTCCTCTTCACTTATGAGGCTTATGTTTCCATATTAACGGACTCTTGGATCTACACTTCTGGTTATTACAGTTCA